AAACAGTGAACAGTACTAAATAATAATAATAATAAAAAATCAGCTTCTCTACACATTGAAATGAAGACCTGTAAGGTTAACCTTTTCTCAAAAGCTTTGTAAAAAACAAAGCAATAAGTCTGGAACAAAACCATAGGCAAATGACCTGAAGTCCTTGCTAACATGCCCTTGCAACCCAGAGACGCCTGTGTTTTCGGGTGGGTGCCTCCAAAGAGGGTGACTTAAGAGGGTTCTTAAAAAAGTTTTGGACATAAGATTCTTGATAGACCTCACCTTGTATAAATAAGTTTTTACTATGGTTAGGACTAAGTTCTCATTCAGCTGAAGGAGAATTAGCTGGATTCATTGATTTACGGAGTTTTATGTTGTGAGGAGAAAGAAGCCCAGGAGGAGGAATTGATTTTTATAAGTGCATTACTTTGTAGCAATATATCTGAATACAACGTTTTGTTTTATATGCTCTTTTGATCTTGCTACTAGCAAAGTTCAGGTTGCTAAAAACATACTATTGCTTGAGTATGACACAGACCAGCTGTAAACAAATTCCTGTTGCGCTTCAACTGCAACTAGAAAACAGGACCATTTAAAAGATGTTCTGATACAACAGTTGTGCCTTTTTATCAGCATCCAGGTGCAACAAGCACATCCCAATTACAGCTCACATGCTTGCAATCTCATGAATTTAGGCTGCATCTAAGTAGTTAAGCACATGCTTAGAACATTTCTAGCTCACAAGCACTAACAGAGAGATTTCATGTGCTAAGATTTCCTAAGAGCCTTAGGGTGACACTGAAGCTTTTTGAAGTGAGTTTTTTTATGAATATTCTCTGAAGTATGATAACTCACACAATTGGATGTTAGTGAACATAGACATACCAAAGCTTGATATTAAATGAGGTGTAAAAGCAGATGCAGTTGCTGATCTTGTGCAAACAAGCTTGAAAGTAAATGTTAAGTCTAGTTAAAAAATAGAACTTCCTTGTCTTATAGTTGAGTATATTAAAAATCCAAGCTAGTTTTTTGTGAAGTCTTTCTTTAGCTCTTACATCATCATACAAGGATGTTATCTCATCATCCTATAACACAGTTTTTGCTTTGTAGCTACTATACTGTTTTTGGCTAACCCTTCTACAGCTGTACTTAATAATGACTTTTATAGTCAGTGTGAAATCACCTGACTTTAGGGAGACTGTCATAATTGTTAACAGGGCAGATTCAGGATGATTTTATTGTTTGAGATTGTATGACCAAGATGTTATAATTGCTATATAATCAAAAGAGTAAGGCAAAAGCAAACAAGGATCACAAAAGAGAATAAGTAGAAGAGCTTACCCTTGGGTTGAGCTCACTAGAAGATACCAGAAGAGGGGATCTTCACCTGAGCTCCTCTGGCTGACTCAAGGCTCACCTCAGGTGATTAATCAGAGGTTCAGGCCGTGACTCAGCAGTTCCCATACAGAGATAATTAGGCATAGCTTAAGAAGATTGAAGAAACAAATAACCTTCTTTAGTACAAATGTATATAAACCTCCATTAGACAATTCTGTAATAATAAATGCCTCAACTTGTAGATAATCACCCTAGAGCATTATTATTATTATTATTTTCTGCAGTCTATTACTTTGTAACTGGCGAGACATTTGTATTGACAGAATTTATAGGAGCTGTCACTGCGGAATACGCAATGAATACAAACTGTCTATTTTGGCACTTTTTTTTTTTACTACTGAACACTTCTATTTTGATTTGGATATCTTGCTACTATGCACAGGTTCAAGCCATAGTCTTCTCTGTGATTTCCAAAGAGCAGGGGACAACTTTCTAGGCTTACTGAAGTTTGTTTTTTTTCTTCTCTACTCACTCATGAATATTCTTTAAAATGATCAGATGATGAATATGATTAAGTATAATTGTAATTAAAAAAAAAAAGCCTCATTAAAGATTTGGAAAAAAATATTGACTGCTTTCGTTTGTACTCCAATCTGCCCTGCTTTATGAGTGCTCAAACATTTAAAATCTATTGAGGACATAAAAGCACATTTTGAGAGATGAGTTCTTTTACTTACATGTTTCTTGGAACTCCAGCTAACTCCTGTGATTCAAATGGATAAAATCTGGCATGAATTTCTAAAAGTCCAGTTACCAGTCCATGTCTCTAAAAAGTCACTAGCATAATTCATTCCTATAGAATACAGAAACAAGAATGGTTCAGTGCAGCCTGAAGAAGTTAATGGAACTTACAAAGATAAAACAAAGAAGAATTTAAGACTTAGCTGCCAGGTACATTGAATTCTTTTCTCTCTCTCCCATTTCCTCATACAAATGTAGAAGAAAATAATTGCTCATCAACGTGATGAACACACAAATCTTTTAAACTAGAGAGTTGTATTTCAAATGGCATCATGGTTTTGGTTGAAACCTAATATAAAAAAATATCTACATATAAAATGTTGAATATCAAAAATAGCTGCAAATTTAAGCACTTAAGAGTTGGGAAAACACAAATTTTAGATTACCAAGCATTTTTCCAGGCATTCCGTGCACTGTGATAACCTGCCACATTCAACAGGCAAGTATTCACTCTTTCTGCTTGGCATCATTTTTCAGGCCATGTTTCTCAGTCCCAAAACCCTTTTCTGTGTACTGTATGGTCTTCATCACTTATGAGGATAACAGTTGTTCAAATAGTTGTAAAATACATATTTATGTTTCCAAATGTAGGTATAAATGTTTTTAAATGCTGTGTTTATCTTTGTGTCTTTTTCTCCTTTCTAACACATTAAAATTTACTTTGCTGTGTGGCTATAAGGCTTGGGGTCCAAATAAATACCCAGTGGCTTGAATTTGCTGGATTATAGTTTCATGAGACAAAATATTTGCAAAGATCATGTAGTATTTAATTACGACTTATTAAATATCAATTTGTGGCTTTACTGAAAATGAGATTAGAACAGTGATTATCATGTGACAGAACAGTTTCTGTGATTTACTCATGGACTGCTCTTCTTTCTTCATCTATAAATACCCTGAAGAACTGGGGGGGAAAACATGGCACCAGCTAACCAAAGAAATGGAAATGAGAATAAACATGTTTTAATCCTGATGCACTGGAGTTCTTTATCATGCTCATCTTCTACTTGGAGTTATTGATCTCTTTTAGCGCAGCAACCAGGCTGTGAATATGACCTATGAAAGTGGCAAAGATTTTAAACTTTATTACGTTGACTTGGAGTTCAGCCTTCATTGGAACTGAAAGGACAATTGTTCTGGGGATATGTGTGATTCAAGGCAATTTATTCATAAAGCAAAGAGGAAGAGAGTAGTAGCAGTCACTGGGGAAAGTCACAAAGGAAAACAAGTCAGAAACACTGAAACATTCAATCTAGATAAGGCCACAATTCATGGGAAGTTCAGGATAATGCCACAAACCTACGAAAAATGTGAAAACGCTCAGTTCTCCTAGATGCCAGTAACAATTCCTAGCACAGAAAGAACGGGTAATAAGATTATTTAAAAATGATCATAATGCTATTTTTGTTTTTGGTCTATTCTTTTAAAAATTAAGCATGAAGATTTTGATCCAAAGGCCAATGGAAGCAGCAAGTCTCTGCATTTAGTTCCACAACTTTGGATTGATATAAAGTGAAAAGCACTGCTCTTGTTGAAAGCTCCCAACACTACTGTGAGGTCATGGATACTACATACGTTGTGTGTTTAGAGAGGAAGTCCATGTATCCATAAGTCTTTCTTCATTTATTCATTCTCTTTGGAATATAGTTTTCTGAGGAGTCTGAGAAAATCAGTTAATTCATTACTGAATTGTGCCCTGAATTTTGATTTGCATACATTTACATCTTAATTTCATCCCTTCTCTAAAGTTCTGACTCTTATTAGAGCCCCAAATTAGAGTTTGGAAGCAGTATAAGTGCATGGAAAGAAGTGCTGGTTTGCCTGCAGAGCTGTGTTATTATTTGTTAATTACCAAAAAATAAAATACTGAGTTCTTAGATATGAGTCATGCACTGAAAAGAATGGGATTTATGGCCACAAGGGTCTTTTTCTGTAACTGTTGGTGCTGGTTCATCACTTTCCAAGAGCTTCAACAAACTGTTCAACAAATCTCTCCAGCTAGCTCAGCAGCTCCAAAGGAAACAATATCGAAGGAAAGCATTAGACTGGCACTAAAACAGAGAAACAGCAAGCTCTAAAAGTCCCCTATATTTTAACATGACTCTCATAACTCCTCTGAGGTAAATGAGAATTTACAAGGCTCACATCTGTGGCCCACAAACCACTTCTCTATGAAAAAAAAAATTCTTTCCAAATTTCTTAGCTTTCTCAGGACTTCATGATTATCAGTGATGCCAGGGATGTTTTTCTGGACTGGAAAGATTTCTTAGTCTGGTTGTATCTCCAACAACCCTCAGATCACAATTTCAATCCAGAAAAACATTCAGTCCAGTATGACAGGAGACAATGACAGCCACTTGAAATTAGATTTGGCAATGAACTTGCTAACAAATGCTTTTGGATAATGCCTGTGAAGTATGCTATCAAAGATGTGACATGTTAACTTAGTCTGAGCAAAGAAGGTGCAGACCCATCATTTATAGAAATTCATTGCAAATCTGAAGATTTTGACATTCTTCCAAGACAAAGATACTACCAAGAGTAAGATATGTTCAATAAAATGTATGTGCTACAGAATGAGAATGATGATTGACATTCTTTAAGAGCTTTTTGTCTGTCTAGTTTAATAACCTCCTCCTAACAGTGTCCCTTCTGATGCCCTGCCCACGACGGCTGAATTACAGTCTCGGCTTTATTTATTTTTATTTCTGTGGCATGTTGAGTGAAAATAAACAAGCAAACAAAAAGAACCAACGACAACACGTCCACCTGTGCTGGAAGCCTTGCACAGGACGCCCCAACCCGGCCCGGAACCTTCGTCGGGCGGAACGCAGGTTGGCGGCGAGGGAGTCGGACCGGAAGGTGCTCAACGGACGCGGTGGAGGGAAGATGGCGGCCGCCGTGGAGAGCTCACGAGGGCAGGAGGCAACGGGCGAGGAGGCGGCCAGCGGTAACCGGGGGGGCAGCGGTAACGGGGGGGCGTTCCTCTCCCTTGGTCCCCTCTCTGGGTTGTCACCGTCCCCTCCCTCTGCCTCGTGCAATCTGCCGGCGGGATTCCACAAGCCTGAGCACCCCTCAGAGGTGTTCTTATGGCCGACGGTGCCTGCTGCCTCCTTAGCTGCTGTTGGGTTCCCCCGGCTTCTCCCGCTGAACAAGCCGGCAAGCCGCTTCTGACAGGGGCCCAGGCAAATAATTTTGGCTGCTGCTGTGTGTGTGTGTGTTTGTAGTGCGTCTGGCTGTGTGTGTGTGAGTGGGGGGAGGGGGGGGGGGCATTCAGCGCTGAATCTAAGGGGAGGTGGGGGGTGGTTTGGTGATCGAGCTTCCAGAACTTCTCTCAGAAAGATGATGGATGTTCCTAAATGTACGCGCCTACACCTAGATCGCTGGGCAGACATAGATGAAGGAAATATGGAGATGTTCAGAGCTGGGGCTGGAGAAGAGAGGGCTCTGTGGAGATCTGAGTGTCCTTTCAGTATCTAAAGGGGGTCTGTCAGAAAGGAGGGGACAGACTGGTTAGCAGGGTCTGCTGCGATAAGACGTGGGGAAATGGTTTCAGGCTAAAAGAGGGGAGATACTCAGATTGGGTATAAGGAAGAAAGTGTTTACAATCAGGGTGGTGAGGCACTGACACCGGTTGCTCAGACAGGAGGTGGATGCCCTGTCCCTGGAGGTTCTGAAGTCAGGCTGGGCAGGGCTCTGAGCAGCCTATCTCTTGTAGGTGTTGCTGATCATTGCAGGGGAAATAGACTAAATGGCTTTTAAGGGTTTCTTCTGACTCAAATATGTTTATTCCCACCCTTTAAAGAGGTCTTTTTATATGGAAATTTTATTAGACTTGATTAATTTAGTACAGAGCTCCAAGTACTAGTTCTGATGGAATTAATACAATTCACATTACTTTGAGATACCTCTGCTTTAACTGATGCCATTGACACATTCTCTCATATGTTCAAAACTAGCAGTGCTGGCTAACTGCTGAAGCCTCAGTCATTCACCTTTCTTTAATTGTTGAAAGTGCTGATTGCCTTGCATAATAATTTTTGGTATTATCTAACTTTATTCTCTTAGTTTATTCGGAGAGGTTATGTGTAGGAGAAAATGAATGCGTGGTGTTGCAGGTTTTTTTGTTTATTTTTGGCTATTTTTTAAGCCTATTTTTTTAATAGCAGAGTAATGAATTAGTCTTGCTATGGAGCGTATCATTAGTTGAATAGATAGGATGGATTAAAAACAGATGTCATTAATAGCTGTTCCCGTTATTCTATGGAAAACATCTTGTCAAGCAGCTCCTGACTTCATTCTTATAACAACTTGGTTGCTAAAGAGATGAAGGAATGTAGTAATGCTTACAAAGTTGAAACACTTGATCTGATGGAACAAAACTTCTGCAATTTTTGAAATACTTTTCCTGATATAGCATGAGAGGGATCGATGGATGAAAGGCAGTGAGCTGCACGTTAAGTGGATGAGCAGCAGTCAGTCATTCAGAACCATTGGGGACTGTCTCTTTGCAGGTGGGACTGCAGGGGAGTCAGAAACCAGCTTTGTTCTACCAATCACTTGGTGGACTTCAAAGCCTTGTAAGCGATATGTTATATATGTAATCTGAAGCTTCTGGGTGGCACAAGTATCAATGGAATAGGAGTGAATTGTCACAGGACACTACTTGCCCGTGCTGCACAGTTACCTGAAAAAATAGATAGAGTGAAATAATGAGACATTTTAGTACACCCTAAGCTTGCAGCCAGTTTCATTCTGGTTAATCATTCTCTCTGTTAAAGTCTTTATTTGACTGACTGATCAAGCTAATGAAAGTAGCAGAGTACACTTTATGTGTGTTTGGTTTGCTGTTAAATTGACTTTTTTTCCCTCTCTTGCAATTACTTGATTTCAGACTTGAGTATTTTAACTCCAGTTTCTGCTTTTGTTTTGAATAGGGGATGGGGTAAGAACAGAAAAGCTCATTTACTTTTGAGGTACCTGACAAGTCTTTTGGTTCTCTGTTTCACAGAGCGGAAACCGTGCTTTGCTAATTGTTTTTCTGGACTAGTGTTTTTTTCCTGAAGCATACGTTTTCTTCGTGTATGATATGCTCCCCTAGCTTCAATTTAATCTGTGTACATGCATTTAAACACTAGATGTCACTGTTGCAGTTTGTATAGAAGTATATGTAGCCATGTGAACATAAATATATGTGTGTGTGTGTATATACATACAATCAATAATTTCTTTTAACTGGAACATACCTTTTTTTCCCTCAAATTTAACAGTCCTAGTCATAACAATTTTCATTAATATAGTAATAATTTCCAGGTCTATCTTCTCCCTTCTACCCAACCTCTTAAAATACTGTAAAACATTGCTGAGAGTAGAAAGCCCTTGCACTGTATACTTTCTAATAAAGTGTAACTTTCTAATAAATTCGTAATGGTGGTTTCATGCCTGCTTGAGCAATATCTTGAAGAATTAATTGTAAAAGCAAGGAGTGTATGGTCCTGAGCTCTAATAACGTTTGCATTTAGAACAAATTCAACTTGAGATGAGTCCTTACTGGAGACAGAAATCTTGATACTTTTTTTTTTTTTTCTTTTTCCCCCTAGATTCTGAGATAAGCTCAGGACTTCCAGATGACAGCTTCTCTTCTGGGGATGAAGCCTTGGATGGAGATGATGAGGATGAAGCAGCAGTTGGTGGGCATGTGGCTGAAGAGACAGCAAATTCCAAAGCTGGTCCAGGTTCAGGCTGGGCAGATGCAATGGCAAAAGTACTCAACAAAAAGATACCACAGAATAAGTCCATCATCTTGGCCAAGAATAAAAAACTGGAGAAGGAGAGAGAAAAGGAGAAACAGGAAAGACTGGAGAAGAGGAGGAAGGTGAGAAAAAGGCTCAGCGTTTCATTGTACTGTCACAGTCAGATAGGGATGTGGGCAAGGTCACCCAAGCAGGGATTTTGAAGAGCAAGGGCCTCGAGGTTGAGACTGGTGTAATCCATAATGTGCTTTTGATTTTGTTTGCCCCTTTTGGTTTTCCATGGTAGATGGTATGATGGTGTCTATGCTCTAAATTATTTCTAATTCTGAAAATGATGCAAAGAAAACAAAGCTGTGGTGGTTTTTTGTGGCTTTTTTTTTTTTTTTTTGTGAAATTTTAATTCCACACTGTAATTGATTCACCTTCAGGCTAAAAATTTATTAATACTTCTAATGTTTCATCTTGCTAGTTCTGTTTAAGTAGGTTAATCAAATTTCCTGCTGATAGTCTGGGACATACAGTGGTTAGGCTGCAGCCTGCCCCGTTAATAGAGCTCTGGTAAGGTAGCTCCTCAATTCTAGCTGTCCTAAATACTTGTTCTCGCCCAATAAATGTGGAAGTACTGTGAAGCAGAGGTGAGCTGCAGGTCTCTAAGCTGACTAGTTCACCCTTAGAAAAACTTCAGGTCAGTCTGGCTTTTTTTAATTTCTTGCTGATGTAAGCTAGAGCATGGCAGGTCTTTTGATCAAAGGTCAAAACGTGGTCATAAACTTGTGAGTTCGTAGTAGTCTGCCTGAAATTATAAAGGTAAGGGCTCTGAAATTCCGTGAAAAGCTTGTGAAAAACACACTCAGTGAAATACCATCAGATCTAAGAACACTGTTAGATTGTTACAAGTTGGGGAAAATGTATTCTTAAATCATTCCTGATGCAGGTGTTGGAGAAGTATAGTATTCTACTATTGGACTTATGGTCCTTGATCAGTTGATCAATTTTGGATTTGAAACAGGGAACCTCAAAGAAGACAAAAATTGGTGTTGTACATGACAGTTGGAGAGTCATGGAAGGGTTGTGGAATGGCTTGGGTTTGAAGGGACCTCAAAGATCATCTAGTTACAGTCCCCTGCTGTGAACAGGATTGCCAGCAGTTAGATCAGACTGTTTAGGAGCCCTTCAACCCTGACCCTGAGTGCCTCCAGGGATGGGACATCAACAGCTTCTCTGGGCACCTGTGCCAGAGCCTCATTGCCCTCTGGGTGAAAGAATTCTTATTAATATCTAATTTAAAGCTTCCCTCTTTCAGTATAAATCAATTCCCCTTTGTCCCACTGCAGTTATCCTGTGAGCGTTTGGTACTCTCTTATGCTTGAGTTCTGCTTATTGCAGTCTTTGCTGTGCATCACTGTCAATCATAAACCTGCTTTGTGATTTATTCAGTAGGGGAAGTCAAATTCCTGAGACTCAAAATATATTATGCTTTTCTTGATGTGCCCACAAATTTATTATTTATAGATTTATCTGTGATGGGCTTGAGAAGCTGGAAACTGTTCTTGAATAGTTTCTTTGCCTGTAACTGTCAGTGTGAAAGCACTTGTGTTTTGCTAGATCCCTTTTGCTTGTCTCAACCAGAAACATCACTGTGGCACAAACTTTCTGTTGTAGAAGGGAAATGGCTGTGATTTCATTGGGGCCCCATTGTTTTCAGCATGAGGGACTTGCCTTAGGTCTGTTGTCCCGTGCTGGAGCTGCTCTTACCATCAACCAAACAGAGCTTTTGTTGATTTATCTTTTTTTGGACATCTTAGTGCATGTTGTTAGAGTATGCTGCATTCTCAAATGGCCCGTGCCACTTACTTCATGTAATAATATTTGTAACAGCTTGATAAAAAGCGGGAGTGGGAAATGATGTGCCGAGTGAAGCCAGATGTTGTCAAAGACAGAGACAGAGAGAGAAATCTTCAGAGAATTGCAACAAGGTAAGAGGTTTTTTTTTGAAACCTTTATTTAAATATATGTATATCTTAAAGGAAGGAAAAGGGGAAGAAAAGGCCTGTGCAGGTAATCTGTTTCCAATCAGATTGAGCTCCTAAGAAGTGACTAGCAGGAGCCAAGTGATTTATATGCAGATCTATGTTTTACAGTATCAAGTTCAACAAAAGATTTTAGAGGGTTTCTGAAAGCATAAAAATTTAGACAATAATATAATGTTTGCCTAACAGAAGTGCTTTGTTAGACTCCCTTATTTTGTTAATTTAATGCTTTGAAAATGCGGAACAGTTGTTTCTGCTGTTCTCTTTTTTCCTTCTCCGCAGAGAATTCACCAGATCCATGGCTGCTAAATACAGTTGCCTGATTTGCATTATTGTAGTGGTGCTCTTTGTCTAGTTCTTTGTGGAGCACCATGTTGATATTCTGTCTGTATCTGCTTGTTTCCTTACAGGACTCACTCCTGTCCCTTATACTTCTGCTTCAGCTGCTCTTAAATTCTTGTATGAGAAATTTAATAGCTGGTTGTAGAATTACCTGCATCCTTCTGGAGTTGAAATGTGTTTTTGTATTGATGGTAGTGCAATGTATCATGCTTGCTTTGAGATCTGAAAAGTTGTGTTTGGATTTTTGTTGCTGGTTTCTAGTAATAAGTGGGAAGGAAGATTGAAAATTGAAAGTCTCCTGTATTATAGTGAGTGTTACTTAACAGAATTGAGGTTCTAAGTAACCATTTTTGGGAACTAGAAGCCAGCTAACATCTGAACTGGTTAGTTTCTTTGATAGAAGGTCCATATCTATAAACGCAACTTGAGTTAAAAGTTTTTTTGTTTTTTCCTCACCTCCTCTCTGCTGCCTACCACCCTAGAGGTGTTGTGCAGTTATTTAATGCTGTCAGGACACACCAAAAGAATGTTGATGAGAAGGTGAAGAAAGGTGCGAAATCTGAAAGGCAACGTGCTAAACTGCTGTCATCAGTTTCAAAGAAAGATTTCATCAATGTTTTAAGAAGCATGGACGGTGCTAAAGGAAACCATAACTCTGATAGAAAGGCTGCAAAAAGTAAACAGGTAGGCTTGCATGCAAAATACCTTCTCAGTGTACTTACATATAGTCTGCTGACGTGCCTGCTATGCAGAACAGACGTATCCAAGTGCCTTGCTTTTTTTTTTTTTTTTATTACTTAGCCTTTTTTTCTTTTATATAGCTTTCCTGAGAGAACATCAAGCCTTGTGTGCAAATAACTTATTTTACCTGTGCTCTTATTGAAATACATGTATTAAATTCTATTTTAATTATTATTTTTATCTTGAGTTTTGTGCATTGTGGAACAAACTGCTGAGTCATAATGAATTATGGCATGAGGAGTTTGGGCAATAGTAGTTGCAAGTTCTCTAGAATTGTGGTATCCGTTCACCCAGCGTGGTGTATGTGACTGTACTACTTCTGTTTACCCACAGAATCAGGTATTTCAAACTCATTTGCTCTGGTTGGTTAGGGAACTTTCGGGCTTTGACATAACAAGTGAATACTGCAACTGAGAAACTCAGGTGTGTTAAACATTTGTAGGCGTTTTTCTCTGAATTTTTTTGTGTGTTAGACTGGTGGTTTATTATTGCTGATAAACTGTTTTGGAAATAAGTATTTTAACATACCTTTTTCTGAACGTAGGCAAGATAGGCAGTTTGTTTGGGCTTGTTTAAGTTTTTAGCAGTCCATTCAATTCAGTAAGTAGCTCAGGGTTCAAAAGAAGTTGCTCAGACATACCATTTCTCGTATTTCAGAAGCTGTGTATTTTGGTGCACCATTTGTGTTCAGGTTTGAACTTTGTGCTTAATAATGGGTGGAATACTTCTGTTGGCCCAGACTCGCAGCAGTTAACTAAGTGGGCTCTTGGTGCCAGAAAGAAATACTTCAATCAGCTGGGAGACAACAGTTTGTCATATGTTTTTTGTTTGTGTGTGCCTGGGGAGCTTGCTGAAATGCTGCCTGACATGAAGAGCTCATAGAATTTTCATGCAAATGTAACATTAAAGTATTTTTTTGAATTCCTTGGATAATGAGAACAATTTAGCTTCATGCTGACACTTTATTTCTCCTTAAATAATTCCAGCTTGCTTGTTTGGGTGGGGGGCATGTGTGTGGTTTCGTGTTTGTTTTTGTTTGTTTTGTGTTGTTTTTTATTCCCCAGAAAGCAGAACATCACTAATAACATTGCCTACTAGTATTGCTGATGTTAAAGACTAGTCAAGATTGTTATCAACTCAGCAGTCATGGGAATCATGTATCAGCTGCAAAAACATAGTAGACTGACAGTGAATCAAGAGCTGAGTAAAAACTGGGATTCTTTTTTGCTTTGTCAGATTGTGGAAGGGCAATTTTCTAATTATCAGGTCAGGAACCAGATTGCGAATGTTTCTTTACCATAGGAGAAATGTCTTATTTTGTCAGTATTAGTAACAGCATATTTTCATTAAAATACTATGGAGAAATAAAGCTTCAGATACTGACTGGTAAAGAGTCATTTTCAAGCATTGGTAGGTGCTGCTTTCTTTTGTTCACAAGATTCAGATTTAGGAGTTTTATTTAAGGCTATATTGTGGGTTTGCTTGGTTTTTGTTGTTGTAGCTGTGTTTTTTTTTTGTTTGTTTTTAGTGTTTGCTTTGATAGACTCACTCTTCCTTCCCTGTCCTGTTGTATTTGTTTCAGTGCCTCTCCATTCAGCACTGAACTAAACTCTATGATGACAACTTGAAGAGGAGTTTTATTAATCTGCCATTATATCTCTTGGGAATATATTTTACCAATTTAGTACACTCTCATCTTCTTAGTAGTTAATGCCTGAAATTGAAGTCAAATTTTGATTTTCAGTCTTATCATCAGATTTACACAGACATTCTGCCACTATACAGTACTGCTGGATTCCACAGTTGTATCTTTGCTTCTTGGTCTTTTGAGGGTATTTCAGAGAATGGTAAGAGAATGGTAAGTAGAGATGAGGCTTTGAGATGGTGAATTCTCTAGAATGCTGGTAGATTTTTGAGACATCTGAAAGCTTTTCTTAGCTTTGTTAGGGCTGGTTTTCAAGCCCTTTATTTGCTTGTTTTTTGTCCTTTTGTAGCAGCCTGCTTTCTTTTTAGCAATTGAGACCATAGTGTGTATTTCATTCTTTAAAAAAAAAAAAAGGAATATTTTTATTTATTTCAACATAAATGATGGAAGAGATGCCAATCCCAAACTCCAGGCTTTGTGCCATCAATTAAAATATAGTCCAGAACAATAAAAACACTACCACACCCACATAAAACAAGCAGTCAGCAAGAAAAATAACAGAATAAAGTTTTCCTAGTGAAAGCAATGCTTTCTTTGCCCACTCCTTGTGCTGTGAAAGGAGTCTTGACTATATTTGTGAGAATGGGCAAATACTTAGTTTTCTTACTCTGCAGTGGTTTTGGCATGAAAGATTTGCTGCCATGTTTTTGAGGGCTTGGCTTCTTTCAAATGTTCGGAATTATTGAAGATACCCCTTACAAAGCTCTGCTGTAGCTGACTATTCAATCAAGTATAGGTATGCATGAGAAAAATAAATTGAAAGCTCTATAAAGATTATCTGTAGTGGTATTTTGTTCTGTATTTTGTAGGGATTTTGTTCTGGCACAAACCAAATGTAAAAGTACATTCTTTTTCCACCAGTTTCATGCCTTCATGGGAAGAGCAGGTAACCCATACTCCTGCCAGAGCTCGCTGTTGTTTATAGTCTCATACTTCTAGCCATTGGCCTAAACACCCCTTGGTGTACCCAGCTAATGCAGCTGTGAAAGACGGACTGTCAGGCTGTGAGTTTTTTTCTGTGCCATTTGAAACTAATCCCTTTTCAGGTTTTCTGTGCCCAGATGGGAGTAATTACTCTTCTGAGCTGGAGCCAAAAGGTTTGCCTTTCATATCGCTAACTGTTTATCAAGGTATTTCTTAATCCTTGCTGAGCCAGCTGACTTGTGTCATGTTTTTCTCTTTTTTTTTTTTTTTTTCCCAAGGTACTGTACAAGATGCTTGCCTCTGGGTAAGAACATGTAATTTCCTTCTTCCACCATCATCTTATCTGAAAGCTTTGTAATGAGGAATAAGAATGTAATAATGGGGAAGAAAAATCTCAGTTCTTTAGCTTTTTTGAGTGGGTTTTTAAACTTTTGAGTGGTGATATTCTTGTTTTGTGAGGGTTTGTTTTTTGTTTTTTTGTAAGCATTTCTCAGGAGATACAAGGGCTGTCAAGTCTTGTTCAACACAATCCTTACAGAGCATGTTATTGGTTAGATCTTGGCTACTTCCCACCTTTAAGATACTTTAAGAAATGTTATTAATCGACATACAGAGTTTTGTGAGGGGTGTTCTTGTCTGCTTTCCTAATAGTGGTATATGGTAGTGAAACTCTACAGGCTGAAGTCATTTCTCTGGCTTTACAGCAAATTCAGGAGTAGCAGTGATAATTAAAGGATTCCTTTTGTTGTCTGTAGAGTTAAGTTCCTTTCAGATGTGTACCTCTGAAAGATATGTCATAGGGCCTAATGTGGAGGGTATTTTTGTAATGGATACTCAGTTCTTTTAAAGCCTCCCGCTGTATTCATTTCTTTTCTGTAGACTGTCAGCTGTTTTATCTGAAATGGCCTGGGACTTAGGGCACAAGGTGATCTGCAGGTGAATCATCATAGGTTGCAGCCCGAACTGAACCTGTACTACTTTTACTTATCCTTTCCTACTCTTACTTATGCTTTCCTTAAAAAGATTGCATAAATTTATTTTTTTTCCAGTATTAATTTTTAATTATGATACATGTCAATGATATATTTCAGCATGCAATTGCTGAGATGTTCATTCCTATTAGTTGCAGATTACACATATATAACATTCTTCAGTTCTCTTGCAACCCAGTCCTCTAACTGAAGTATGACTTCACTGAATTAGTATAGACTTTTAGAGTTCCTTTAGATGTCCTTAAAAAATTTTGGGTGCTGCTAAGATTACTGTCACAGGGTAATACTTTTGCTTTCAGAGTTGAATGAAGTTTCTTATCTCTTAAACCTGTAAAAGTACATTTGCTGATGCAATAAATTAGAGATCTGAAATCTTAATTGTAAGAAGGCAAAGAAATTCAGATTTAATGTTCCTGGAACAGCTTAGATCTCTTCTCTCACTGCAGGGCAGTTGAAAGGGTTATTCATGCTGTGATTTCAGCAGAAGCACCAGAAACCTTCCTCTGGCTTTCTGCTTATCATTTGTGCTGCTCCCTGTGAAGTATTATTGGGTGATAACATATTTTCTAGTGGCATGTGAATAAATGACGTGAAAGTTGCAAATACTCTCTGTGACAAGCATAGCTTGTGCTCATCAACCTTTAATTTTGAATTATGTCTTTGCTGAATGGTGTCCTGAATGGTTATGTTTGCTAGAACAAGCTTTCTCATAGCAGCTCTGCCGCAGAGCATTTAAAGGGTGGAACTGAGAGTAGAACTTTCTGCTGTACCTCAGTCACTATAATTCAGTGATAATTTTTCTATAAAATCTGATGCTGCCTGTATGACTTGGAGTACAACTTGTGTCCTGCACTGTGATGATCTCTGGGGAGGAAAAAAAAAAAAAGTTACTGGTCTCAAAATGGTATCTATTAATAGAACTTATTGGTGGGAAGGAAGATGAATGAAGACGAGCACAGTTGTTCTTTTATATCAAGCTGTTGATCATATGAGAATTGGAATAAAGTGATTTTTCTATAAAGACCTGTATTCTATGAAAGCTGTGTTTGCTAAGTGACTTGTAAGTGTAGCTAACCTGACTCCAGTCATTACAGACTTCTTCTTCCTTGTGAGATATTAAAAATTATTAAATATTCTAAACAGTAGTTGAAGAACTGTACAAGGGTGGGAGGATTACTGTGTTTCTGATTTTGACTCCAGGACACAAGAAGTCACATGGAGCTTTCATTTGTCAAGTTAGTTGAAGGTACAAATGTGCTTTCCAGCTGAAGAGTTAATCTGTTTAAAACGTGCTAGTGACTTCCTTCTTTTTCTTGCAGCTG